GATAATTGAATATTTTAAACTTGGGTGTTTGCTTTGGTCCAAATAAGATGATTCAAGATTTTTGTTTATACATACACTCATTAGAAAATGCTCCTCATCTCATATGTTATTTACATAGAAGGTTAATGCATTTTATGTTAATTGTTGCATTTTTTTATGTATATGGAGACAAAACTAAAACCCAAATCTAAGGCTTTTTATTTTTATATACTTTCTTTCTTTTCTTTTTCGTGTTGTCCGACATTTTAACTTATATTAATAATTGATAGTATCATATATTGTTTAAAAGATTTTCACTTATTATTTGATAAATGAAATAGTATTATATTAATAGTGAACTATGAAGTTTATTGAAAGTAAAATGATGTGTTTTGGCTAGCTACAAGTATGCATATTGATAACTAATTATTTTAGATATTCTTTCAATCTTACATTATATTTTACATAAAATCCTTAATTGTTATGATTGTTTGACATTAGTATTTTTATCTTTATCATTATAAAAGTTTATCGACATACACATAGAATATTGATGATTTTGGTATTTTTATTTAAACTATTCTCAAAATTTATTGCCTTAGACATAGAATATTGGTGTTTTGCTTTTTGTTATGTTTTATTTATTAATTATATTTGCAATTTTTATATGAATTTTATACACTTTTTAATTATAATTTCATTATGACAAATAAAATTCAATTGAGTTAAATACTATAACTATTTTAGTGTTGAAGTTTTTATTTTGAAAAAAGCAATAATATTGTGCAGTTGAAATCACATTGGTATAGCAAATTTAAACTGGGTTGTCTTTATTTGATCAACAATAAATTTTTAAATAAGCATATTTTAAACTTTTTTCCATAAAATTAAACACACCTGCATTCATTTTTTTTAGTTAATTCCGATAAGTTTTATATGATTAAGAATTAAAATGTTTTGTGTTCATTTAAACATGGCAAATGTTTTAAAAGATTATGCATAATTTGTCAACTTAATTTTGTTATTACTTTTTTTGTCCATGATTTAATCTAATGAAAATTAACTTGACTTGACTTGCTTATAGTTTGGTTTTTATTTATCTATTTTTAATATTTAGACAAATAAATGGTCCATGATTTCACATTTTGAATAAACACTATGTGATTCCAATGACAGATTTTTCAAGTGTTAAAAGTTCAAATGTCTTATTGGAAATGAATCTAGTGTTAATGAGAATTGTTGTCTAGCTTTAAATTAGAGATTGTTAGCAAATTATGTTTCCACTCCTCAATCACCAATAGTCACTTGGTTGATTATTCGTTTACTTTTATCTTTCCATATTAATACTTTAAATTGTTTTTTGCATAATAGTTATGTAGGTAAAGGCCAAAATTTTCTATAGAAATGTTTGAATTAGTTTTATTGTAATTATATTTACTACTATTTTTTATATTTTTATTTTGATTATAGGTCATTGAAAAGCTTTTTCACACTATGTAACATCTAAAATGCATCTATTTTTACATGTAGGTTACTCTTTGGTTAACACATATACTCCTTAAAACTCTATAAAAGGTAAATATTGATATTTCATTTTTTATTTTTAATATTTTATTGTTTTTACATATATAAATTCACTTACATATACATGTTTAGATTATTATTAATTAATTTTTTTTAAGTTACATCAATATAACTATTAAGTTATATAAATCAATTAGTTTTCATGATTGAATATATTTAGTGTTTCATTAAATTTAAATTTTGAGTCTAAATTTATATTTATTATTATGTATTATACATAATCGTGAATCAGGATTTATATGATTCTAATTTTATATGAATTTAACTATTAGAGTCCATTTGGTTCGAAGAAAAATTAAATTTTCCCATGAAATTTTACTTTTTGAAATGTGATTCTTACATTTGATTTACAGTATTTAATTTTAGGGGGTATTTTAAGATTTTCAATAGTGCCTAAATATGTTAAAATAAGAAATTTACCTCTTTTTATGATTTTTTTAGATTCTAGGAGGAAAATGAATTTCGTTCTATATTTGACTTTAATAATAAATTTTTTCGATCTATTTTACCCTTAAAAATCAAAGTAATTGTATGATAAATAAAGATCCATTCTAATACGGAAATAGACATTCATAAACAAACGATTTGACAAAAATGCAATCTTAGCTACTTGATTGAAGGACACCTGGCACTTAAAATAACATGTATTATATTACATATAATAAAAACAACGTTTTTAATAAATCGAACATAATAAATAACTATAATTTTAGGTTTTTTATTTTTTTTATTTTAGAAAGTATTATGTTTTTTATACATGAAACACAATAGATCAGTTAAAATAATAATAAAATAAAATATATATTTTTATATTAAAGATATTTTTTATGTTGAAAACGTAATAATTGATATAATATTATAAAAAAATATTTATGATATTTTTAACTATGTTTTTTATATAAAAAAACATAATATTTAATAACAAAAAGATTACGTTTTTAACATAAAAAAATATAATCCTTGTTTGTTTTTGACATAATTATTTTACAATGTTTGTACTAGCTTGCAAAACTTTGACCCTCATCTTTGTTTGCCATTGGGACGTGGAAGGGATGGGAACACAAGTCTAGAATTAATGCTATGCATAGAAGTAGAAGAAGGGACTTTGTCACACATGTACAAACAAAGATCATGTTTGTAAAATATAATGTTTGTAAAGGCATAAACGTCGTCGTCTTTAATTACTTCCCCATATGTTAGACATGTACAAACAAAGGCCATATTTGTAAAGCCAAAAATATAGTCTTTGATTAAAGTCAAAGATTGAATATTGTCTTTAATTAAATGCAGTTGTTTAATAAAAAACATTTAATAATTAATTATTTTTAAATATTGCATTTTCTTTATAAAAATAGTGTTTATTTTAAACACTATATTTATATAAGAAAAACATTAAATTTGATTTATTAAATAATAAACACGTAATTTTTTATTTTATATTTTATTTTATACTTTTTTTTGTTAAAGATTACGTTTAGATTTATAAAATCGAAGTCTTTAATAATATTATAAACATGTACAAAAGGATATTATAATAAAATTTTTTTATTATATAATATGAGATTCAATAAATCAAATAAAAATTTATAACATTTTCATGATAATAAGAATTATCCTTTATAAAAAATTTATATTTTTTTCAAATTATATTTTTTTAAATTTAAGATTTCAGGAATTAAATGTCTAATTTATATTATTTATTAATCTTATTACTTATAAATAATGTACTTAATATTTAATATATTTATTAAATAATATAAATATTCATAAATCAAATCCACATATTAATAAAATAATACCCACAGCAATGTGAGAGAAATTATCTATTTATATATAATAATATGAGCAATTCATCTCAGAGCACCATCGCAAAACAGTCTCTAAGCTCATGTAATTTACAAAGAAAATACTCCAAAATTAATTTTTAAAAATTACAAAAATCAAGAAAAAGGAATATTTTTCTATTTTTTATTTTTATTTTTATTTTCATAAATGAAGGGTTTATTAGAAAAGTGAGAAATTGGATTATTTTTCAAATTGCATATTTTTAAAAATAGCATTTTGTGATATGAATGAATTATTATTTTCAATTACTTCATGTAATTTTTCAATAATCATTTATCATTATATTTCATTAGTCGTTGATCAAGCTGTTGTTGTGTATGGATATTAACTACTATTTGAGCTTGCAATGATATATAAGTGTTGTTGAAATCTTAAGGAAGCTGGGGCTCTACTTATTCGGTAGTTGAGCTTTCGGCCTTCGTTGAGTTCGTCACTTGCAAAATGAGGCACCCAAAGATTTTCGGTGATTTCCCATCAAAGACTTATTCAAGGTCTTTAAACTCGAAGGTTAGTCTAAATTTTTAAGAAGATTTAGATAAAAAAATTAAAATTTGTTAAATAAATTTTGATATCAATTTTAGATTCGTTTAAATTTCAAATTAAACTTTAGACAAAAAATATTAAAATTCAAACTCAGTTCAACCTAAATAACATGTATAATTAAGTATATGTGTGTAAGAATTTTTATTTTTATATTTTATTTTTTAAAAAAAGATTTAAAAAATTTTTAAAATATATGAGTTTGAAATTTATTTTTTTAATTTAGATCGAATTTGAAAAAAAATTTAAAACCTAAAATATTGGATCGGATCGAACTTAAACAAACATATAAATTATTAATATCAACTATAAACTCGGACCAAACTTGACATGATCTAACTCATAAATATTTATATTTTCACCGTATTTAAATCATACTTTTAAATATTAAATATTAAATATTAAATCTTTAATTTTTAATTTATATTTAAATAAATTTTTATATTTTAATTTATATTTAAATAAAATTTCAATTTTGAGTTTATAATTAAATAAATAAAATTTTAATATAAATTAATATTTTATTTGAAATAAAAATTTATTTAGATATAAGTCAAATAATAAAAACTTATTTAAATAAATAAAAACATATATATTTATTTAAAAAGTTGAATTATTCGATAATATTTTTAGTAATTTAGCTTTTTTATATTACAATATCTAATCACAATAAAAAAAATTAATGTAAAGTCCACGCATTACTTATAACTACGAGCTTGATACATGAGCGTAGGTCTATTGACAAAAGAAAGAAAGATAAAGCTTTAAAACTTAATTCAATTTAATCATATGATTATTTTTAAAAAATAACATTCGACATATTTAAAATTTGAATTTTAATATTTATAATTTTTTTTCTTATCTTTAAATTCCGATCTTATTAATAAATAAATAAATAAAAGATGAAAAAACAGATAATAAGGAAACTATAAAAAAAAAAGTATTTACTATTTTGATTTTTTTCCTCCTTTATCTTTTCTTTTCTTTTTTTTTTTAGATGTTTTCTTTAACAAATTTCTAACCTTGAATAATTTTGAAAAAATAACCAAATATAAATTTTTCTTATTGATTTATCTATAAAAATAGGCAAGTACCTGCTGCAGACAAGCATGGGCAGAGCATTATTCCAAACACAAGCACAGAAAAAAAAGAAGAAAAAAAAAAGGACAAATGTTTCACAGCAGAGTAATTTCGCCTTCCCTCGCTGCAACTTCATAGAGGTCAACAAGGTTTCATAATAAACACTAAAATTTTAGAATAAATATGGTTGGTAGAGCATAACACTGACTTCCAAAATTTCTACTCTTCAATTCTGCTTTTTTAAAAAAATAAAAAAAAATTTCTCCTCCATATTATAGCTCCAGCTGAAATGTAGTATTATTAATTTGCTCTGAAAAAAGAAAGGGAGATGTTAGAAAGAAGACTTCCATTGAGGAATAAATAAACCATTATATTCCCTAAAACTCATAGTTAGTATTACGCAAGTAGCAAAAAAGGCTTATTCCATTTCTAATTTTAACAAATAGATTTCAACTACGATCACTGGATATCCCCTCCCTTCGAAAAGAAATCATCATTCTGCTATATTTACGAATTCTGGAAGGGCAAGGGTTAGTTTCTTACCATCATTTCCAACCTAAAACACTATATATAGTTTACAAAAGAAAGCTTTATTCTTAATATTTACCCTGTGTGTGGTAGGAAAGAAGGAAAATGGAGGGATGGGATAAAGGTTATGAAAAAAATATGAGAGGACATTGTATCTGGTATGACGGATGGAAAATCCAGAGGAAGAAAGAGGCTGGAGGTAAAATTGAAAATAAAACTGTTAATTCAACTTGAATGAGTGTCTTTCACTTTTGGAAGGATTGGATTATGAGTGAAAGGAAAGGTGCAAATCCATCCAAGTTGAATGAATGTCTTCAACTTTTGGAAGGATCGAATTATGAGGGAAAGGAAAGGTGCAAATCCATCCATTTTCCTTCCCTCCTACCATACAGAAGCAGATAGAAAAAACAAAGTAGTTTTTCCTTCTTTCCCCTTTCTCTGACACTAACAAGTGTTGAAGGGATGAATAGAACTCAACAAGGCTGATACTTGTTCAAATTAATTCAGCACAAATCATTGCTTTAAATGCAGAATTTCCCACCAGCAACATCCATATATTTTGTTGCTGGGTGGAGAATACTTTGCCCTCTCACCCTCACTTTTTATCTTCTCTTAAAGACAAATTAGGAACAAGGAAGAGAAGATGCACATAGAAAAAGGCGTGCAGTACCACTTATGTACACTGCATCTTAGATTACCTCATTCTTTGGAGAGCATTTCACCTACAATTCTCTTTATTACAATTTTACAATTACCCAATTACACTAAAGAATTATGTAAGGATCTACAACTTAAAAGTGTGAGTTCTACATAATAGAAAACTGAATTATAATTGATTAATTGTACTATAATAATTGTAGTTGATATGCTCCCCATTCTTTGAGCTTAAAAACTTCCTAAAATCTTTAAGAAAAAAATGCAAGGGTGACACCCAAATCCAAAAGCAACCAAAGGATGCCAACAAAGGGTCTCTCAAATAAGAGAAGCAAAGAAATTACACAATGTAATTTATTGCAGGAAAAATATAACAGTGAAATTCACCTGCCAAGGTATGAATCGTCTTCAGTACTGATAATTATTTCTTCACCTATTTCAAGATAAGGAGGTACCTGAAGAAGTTGCAATTAGGTAAAGAACACAATATTTTCAAATTAACTAAAAAAATGATATTACAGCACCATAGAATCCATAAGCACAAACGCCAAGAAAGCTTGTAACTAGATGCCCTATAACAATGATTACAAGCAAATTCAACAAATAAGCAATAATATCTTCTTAGCATATCGTCCATGTGGTGGAAGGTGTAAATATGCTAGTTGAGGGATTAAGTTATCTAGGAGCTTTTTTAAAAAAAAAAAATTCACAGTTTTGATTTTAATCTTTATGTATGTCTAGGCTATTTTAGATTATTTAGGTTTTTTATAGCATTTTACTTCTTTTCCGAGGCTTAGGGTTTTATGTTTATGTTAGGTTTTTTTGCATTTTGTTAAGGTTTTGAGTTTAGTTGTAAATACCTATGCTATTTTAGTTACAATTAGCAGTAAAACCAACTTCACTTCACATGACCATGCATCAACTGCAACCATCATCTTGACATGTCAGCACCAGGTGTAAGTGCCACATCATCAAGCCACATCAGAACCATTTTTTTTTTCAGATTCTTCTTTGCTAATTTCAAAGTCCTTAATCCATTTTTGAGGTCCATTTTAAAATATTTAGCCTCTAAAGATCACACTTTAAGTCAGTTTATGGAACCTTTAGTTTGAGGTGAACATGGTTACTTTGAAGCAAATTGAAAGTTTGGAAAATGATATTTATGAAGCTACTTTGCACTTACAAAAGTTGATTGCTTTGAGAGATAGAAATGGCTTTGAAATATTCATCATTCAGCCTTTTATGAATACCCTAATTTCACAGTAAGAGAATACTTAAAAATTAGAGATTACAACAAGTGTATGGTGTATTGATGGCAGTAAAGGATGAATTTGGAAAAGTATGTGGTCAATTGGAACAATTTCGAAAATCTTTTGATTCTTTTTGAAGTTCATTTTCTCAAGCATGTTTCTCCTGTGTGTTTGAGAAGAAAGTTCCTGTGGCAATTACTATCATACATGTTAAAATTGAAATTGAGGAAAAACATGTTGAAGACATTACAGTTGTCAACACATGCCTTTTTTTTTTTAAGGCCAAAAAGAACTATCCTTTTGAAGAGGGATTACGAGATGAGTGGGACACAACAGTTAGAATCTGATGAATTAATGCAACATGATTTACTTCAAATTGAAAATGTGGAGAATGAGAATGTTGAATCTACATATTATTCATATATACTAAAGTAAGGTCCAGTGACACTGTTATGGCAGCAGTGTCACCCTATCACATGGGCACTGTTACTAAAACAATGCCCACTTATGGTTTTTTTTTAATCTTTTCTGTTTTGACTTTATTTTCAAGCAACTAACTTTACTTTTATTTTTCTTTTCATTTCCTTTCTTCAACTTCATTCTTTTTAAGTTTTTGTTTTTGTTTTTAGTTTTTTTTTTTTTCCAATCAACTCTTTTTGGGTTTGTAATTTGGGTTTTTGAGCTAGGGATACCTTACCTTGAAAATTGCTTTATGGAGGTAGTTAACTTTACTGGTTGTTCACTTTGTGGAGGTTGTAATATTTGGCAAGGATTGTCAAGGTAGTGGGTGTAGATTCAGAGGACCAAACCACTATAAATGGCTAGTATTGTCCACTTCTCTCAACCATCTCTTATTTAGTGAACTCTTTCCTTGTTCTTTTACTTTAATTCTTCAAGTTTCATTTGGTTTAAGCTTCAAAGTTTAAAAATTTTTTATAAGTGTTATTCATCCCTACTCTAGCAATTGCCACTTGGGACCAACAACAACAAATAGATTTATGTTTTCATGTATCACAAAGATGAGATAGAAAAATTATTAGCATGCACCATGCTACAAGAGTTTTGTCCTCTAAAGTTTCACAAAACAAAATTATAAGCCACCAACTCCCACTTCACTAGCAATTTCACTATCCTGAATACATAAAAATCTACATGCACAAGGAAGTAAAACTCCTAAGAGTACAATTTTATAAAAGATTCAAATGCATAGAAAACAATTTCATGTTTGACTTACTTGAACAGTAAGGCCATTGTCCAGCAAAGCTCTTTTATACCTGCACCAAGGAGAAGTAAAAAGACAATCTTAAAGTCCAAAGATCTACAAGAGATCTAGCAAGTGGAATTCTTTGACTAAGCATGTTGCCATTATTTAACAAAATTTGTTATGATTTCAACATGCAGAGACATAACATTTTGAATTACCATAAGCAATCATCTACTAATTTCTTAACATGAAGTAAAATGAGGGGAAAAACCAAATGAAAAAGAAAAAGATGATTAACAACATTATCATACTCAAGCTTAAAATATCCATGAATGAGTCTAATGTTGCAATTTTAAAATGCAAATGCCTTTAGGGTTGAGAAACAAAAAGTAACGTATTTTGATATCGGCGCCATTGAGAGAGAGAGAGAGAGAGAGAGAGAGAGAGAGAGAGAGAGAGATTGTTAGTGATGTTGTTGAAAAGGAATTGCAGAAATCTACTATGACAACTGAAAAGTCAGAGAGAAACAACATGGATAGGGAGAGATAGTGTGAATGCATTTCACTAAGAAGGGACATTTGGTTGGTTTCTAAAACATTTTTGAGGCAAATGAATTTTAAGCTTTTAAAATCCTAAAAGAATTTTGCCCAAATTCAAATATATTTTCTTGAAATCATTCCTAAATTATGAATTTTGGGTTTTATGCCTCATTTCAATTAAACACATATATTCATCCTAAATACAATGTTGCCGAATGGCTGAAATAGTAAGTCATGCTTCTTCAATGAGTCCTGAAACAATGAACAGGTAAAAAGAACACATCACACCCAAAAAAGAATATCAAGAAAAGTATACATTTTACTAAAACTTTAAGCCAAGACCTATCCATATCCTTTAAAACCAACATTTTTAAGGTCTACACATTGCGAACTTTTTTTGTTTGATTGTGGCAACCAGTTTCACAACACAAGCACATTGGAGGCACCCACATCCATCATACAAGTAACATGTGCACAAATTGTTTTTCCTTTTTTAACAAATGAACACCCATTGGAATCTAAGGCTACACAAAGGGTGGCAGCCCTCTTCCATTTCACAAATCCCACCCCTGCCACCCCAAGATTCAAACTAGACATTTCCAAGTTGTAGCATGAGGTTCTAAACACTGGGGTGTTCCCATGGAGATACATACAAAAATTGGTACTCCATGTTTCACCAAATCAAAAAAATAAAGGAACTCATGTGTCCAAAGATCCAAAGTTCCAAACTATAATCATTGTTGACTTTCCAACTAATACAAGTTCCATAGAGACTGCAAAAACAACTTGAGCAAAAAAATTTAAGTCGAGGAAACACAAGGCTCATATAAATATATTTTCACATTGCACGCAAGTGAAATTTATTTTCACTAGTCCTTTATAATGCATGTTGACAAGACAACCATGTAGTTATAGCTAGTGTTATTGTTTGGATATTTAGTGTAATCTTTTCAGCAGCATATAAACTACATATCTATTATGTCTATAATAACTGGAACATGTTCAGGCCAAAATTTAATCAAGCGTTTTCAGAGGATATTTGAAGACATAAACAGGTTAAAAATGACAGACATCAATATAGTTAGAGGATATAAAGAGCATTCACACAACAGAAAACATACCGAGGGGTGGCTGAAGCCCCCTTCATTGGAGGTTGTGTTTCCTTAATAATACATGTCACACGTTTTGGAACTGATGCAGCCAAAGGTCTTCCATCATATAACTGTAGTCTAACTTTCATCTCCTCTGTTATAAATGACATAATATTTAGCAAGACAATACAAGTGCAATCTTGAAAGGTAACGATCATGAAGCATGAATCAAAATTTCAATAAAACAAAATGTTACCCATCAACAGTAGAAAGAACGAAAGAAATCCACAATCATATTTAAAGAAAAAGAAGGAAAATAAAAAACATTTTAAGGACGCCAGAGCTCAAGGCTTTAATCAAGTCACTGAAACTGATGGAGCATGCTGGCAGTACCTTCAAAGTGTTTAGGAGGCGTGCTAAGACTGGTTCTAATGCCAAAGCCGTAATTTGGCCCATACGGCCATACAAAGTGATGAGAAGCTAAGTTGGGAGTTTGAGTAGGCTTTATAATTTTTTTTTTCTGTAGATTTTATTAGTTGTTTTTGAGTACATAGATTTATTTTCTTTAATTTAAAGTCATTGGTACATATTTCATTTTTCTCTGTTAAGTGTCAATCATATTTTCATAACTTTTGGGGTTGCTGAAAATTTCAGCTTTTGACTAGGCTATGAGTTTGTGTTTCCCTTATCTTATTCCATTTGTTTTGAGTTAAGCTTCTTGTTTTTATTTGTCATTTCAGTATTTGTTAAAATCCTAATTGGAACAGGAGTTATATTTCTTTTAGCATTAGGGACACCAGGAGTCTATATAAATCAATTATCAATGTATTCTTTCTTTCAAGATATAGCTTAATATCAGAAAATTTCCAGTATTATTCCTTTGTGATTGTGAGATGCAATCAATCTTAGGTGCGACTCTTAAGATCCCACATCTGAAGCTTAAGGATCCTTTGCTTTTTCTCTTTCTCTCATTTCAATTTTTCATGTCTTCCTCAAGTATTCAAATCTGAAAAAAGCCATGAAAGCTAACCTCCTAGCTATCCTACATTCAAAACATAGTTCAAAAGCATAGTTAACATGCACAATGGTAAGAAGACAAAGTGATATATCAACAATAAAGATATGTATGAGACTAATAGTTGCTTACAAATTTTCAATAAAACCATATAAATACATACAAGCAAAATAATGTTACTGCATTATCCATTTATTATAAATAACTGCAAAATTATTCTCTCCAAATGATTGCCTTTCCTAAGAAGAGAAGATAGGCTCCCACTATGTCATAAAACCTTCAAGTATATGTAGGTATAATTTGACAAAAGCCACTTCCAATAAAAACAACTGCCCCATGGCTCTGAACTAGAAATGGAATTCACTAGTAGATGACAGCTCGAAAAAGAGGTTAAAAAGTGATAGATCAGGATGCATGTTTTAATGGCACTGTAACAGAGATGGTGGTAGGGAGCACCATAGTGTGGCTAAAGTGACAGGAAGATCTAATAAAAGGGTTGGTAATGATGGTGAAAATGACAGTGATAGGGGGAACCACCTGCAGTGCGGGGTTAACTAGTGGCTCTAGTAATGGCAATGAAATAACAGAAAACAGATGTGCTAGCTATAGAAGATGAATTAAAATAACTTCCAGCAGACCAAGTACACAACCATTATACAAACCAGTCTTAGTTTGATCAACCTTTTAGGTATGCAGCAGATTTGCCAAATAAGTCCAATGGTACTTGCAGTTGGTCATATGTCTCAGGCCTGAAATACAAAAGAAAGAGAACTCATTGATTTTGTAGCAGAAATTTTCCTTCGCTTTAAATGCAAAATATTATCAAGTCTTCAAAAAGGATGGTGAAGCAAATTAAACTCACTCAATCAGAAATGCAGAATTCTTTTCGGTGTACAAACAAGTGTAAGACTTCTCCTCAACAAATACTCCTGCAACAAATAATAGAGATTAATCTAACCCAGACAAAGTGATGACCTTAACTGATATCAAATATTCAAACTATATGCAATACCATAACCACAGCCCACAGATCCTTAAACTTAAGAAACTGGGTAGAGAATTCAATAAGTTAAGATGCATACTTTCAACAGGCTCCTCAGTGCCGAACCGTAAACTTACTTTGTTTCCATTGTCAACATCCCGAAGCTCCATCTGCAATTTTTGGAGGAAAAAGAAAATGAGAGATTAAACATTATGAATCCTTAGAAAATAAACTAAGCAAAACTTTTACACTAAAAGAAAAAGTTCACCAAAAATACATTTTTCACAAATTTATTTTCGAGATATTATTCATTGGCCCTCTTAATTGTTGTTGAACTTCAGCAATTTTCTACCACTTTCTCCCTTCATTACATGAATTTTATCGCTATTTTAGGGTAACGGTGCACTATGAAAATAAGTTAAAGAAAAATCTAACATTCTAAAAGGTACCCAACAACAGAATAAATCATATGATCACATAAGCAAACCTGCATCAATGCGCCTCCTCTACCTCGCTGCTTATGCTCTGATTCTACAATCTACAAACGAGTTATACAAACAAACGTTATACTACAGCATCGCAAGTAGCCTAAAAATAATCTTTAAGCAACAACCAAGGATTGGCCTAGCCATTATAACCCCTCTCTAAGAGAGATTACGTCCAAGCTTCGAATCCCCTCTCCCCTCTTGGACTTCCACATATGTAAAAAAAAAAAAAAAATCTTTAAGTGCAAATAAGTACCTGGTAGACACGGCCTGAGGCATTCGGAGATTAAAAGCAGCATAAGTTAGCACTTGGCAGGTAGTATATTGCTTCATATTCGTGGAAAAACAAAAAAGTAAAAATAAATCTGGTTTATGACGTTAAAAGCTAACCTGATTTTTCAATTACATTCCCAGGCCTTAGCTGCAGCAACAATTTAGGAGCAATCACAATTCACAAAAAAAAAAAAAAAAACTTGTTAATCAACAAAATCAAAACAAAAAACAAAAATGTATCCAAATTTCCCTTTCCGTCCGGTAAGAAATAAGAAATTAAAAAAAAACTACTAAAAAAATTTAAATTAGTAAAAGAATCTACTGGTAAGTGAAAATCATGAAGGGGAAATGAATAGAAAATATGAAGCAATAGTGGGGAAATAAGTTTGAGGAGTGAAGATGGAGATTCAATTCTAGTTTATGAAAAAGTAAAAGATTACATGGATGGCATTGACTTTGACGCCACGATGCTGAAAGGCGGACCATGGAGAGGTAAGAAGAGACAGAGAGTGATTGAATTTGAAGAGAGTGGATAGAGATGAAGATAGTCGCTTCCCATGTTGAACACCCTTCATCGTAGCCCCTGCCGCTGCTTGCGTTATTTTGCTAGAGGACTGAATATTATTACTAAGGTAAAATGCCTCAATAGTCACTTAACGATTTGCGTCTTTTTAAAATGATCATTAATATATATATATATATATATATATATTTATTATGAAGATTAACGTTAGAATTAATATTTTTTTAAAGCTACTATAATGATAAACAGTAACATTGTTTGATCTGATATTACAAAAATTTAACATTTAATGATAAGGCACATAAAATAATCTATATGGCATTCACGTAAGCTAAAATAGCCAATATGACATAACTAATTTCACATAAGCTAAACTCTTTTTTTTTTTTTTTGTTATAGAGTTAGATTAGTCAAATTTTATTATTTTTTTCTCTCATCTTTCATGTTATTCTTATTTCCATTTTCATTACTGTCACTAATTTTGTTTATTTCCCTCTTGATTTAGAGTTTTTTAATTGTTGAGTTTAAGATGAAAAATAAAAAAGTTCATGATTCTTCTATGTTATTGTGTATTGCCAATTGATTTGAGGACCTTTGGTCAAGTGACAATCTTAAAATGAGGTTTTGGGTTGTAAGAATTATAAGTATTTCTCTTGATGTTGTTTCTTCGATTGATATAATCCATAAATTAGTAATTATGTTAGAGTTTTACTCTTTGGGTTGTTAAAAAAGATCAACATAATTGAAAGCCAATAAAAAAAAAAGAGTATTGTGAATTTTATTGTTGATTTGTTATTTGATGTTTAAGCACCGACTAGATTATACTTTTTGGTTTAAGGGTAAAGCAGGATAATGTATTATAGGTTTAAAGTAACAATTGGGTTTGGAAGATTAAGGGTTTTTTGCATTTTGTATAAATTGGCAAAATTTATTAACTAGTTTATTGTATTAATTGGTAGGTCATTTTGTATCTTTGTGGCAGCTATTAGCAAAATGTACTTTGGATCGAATTATGTAATGGTTAATGGTTTAGATTATGTTCAATCTTTTTGTTTAAATCTTGGTTAGTGTTTAATCTTAAACTAACAGATCCCTAAATATCAAGGTTTTAATTTTTTGTTTAAACCTTGGTCAATGCTGAATTGAGACAGTTGCAATAGATCTCCTAATATCAACAAATCCTAAACCAACATGACAAATTAGTAACAATATCAACATGACAAACCAATAACAATACCAATATAAACAAATAATGAAGAAACCAATAAACTAATATGTAATTTCAAGTAATAACATAAAGAAATCCAAAACAAAATTAAGGAGCTAAAACATGGCTTTACTAATAATAAAGAGCCATTTACACCAATATGTAATTGCAAATAGTATGTTGGACTTTAGATCATTTTAAACTAGTTTTTACACAAAACTAGTATCCTAAACAACAAAAGAATTTCTATAACAATCCAATATACTAATAACAAAAGAACTTTGCATCATAAACCATTCATGTACACAAAAAATAAAAAAAATAAAAACTCCTATTTCGAAGATAGCCTTACTGATAATTGGTTTAGTAATGTTTTTTTTTTCATGGTAATTGACCTTACCGGACCTTTTGCAACTTTTTTGTTTTGTTGAACATTGATTGAAGATTCAAGCAACTTTATCTTTCTTTTATCTATATTTGCAAGTCCTGAAGGTGGAAAGGAATCTATAAGGTCTAGGAGGTGGAAGAGTCTTACAAGATCCAGAAAAGCCATTGGATCAAGAGATTGAACTTTGTTGGTGTTTGAAATACTTAACTATAGCCTTACACATCAATACAATAAATGATTAATTATTTATTCTATAGGGTATTTAAAGTTAGTATATAGTAGATAAAAGAGTTGTTTACATCAAACATCCATCTAATAGTCATTGAAGGTGGCTGATTAGTAGTTGTAGTAGTTTTAACTTGTTGATTTGTAGTCCTAATAGATCTCTTAACCTAGAAATGAAAATAATAAAATAAGTTATTATATTTTGTCTAATTTTATTATGCATGAATATAAACCAAAACACTCATAGGTAACTTCGAGATTTTCTTCTTGCTTGACTGATAATTTTAGCAACAGTAGCTAGATTTAATCTGCTATTACCCTAAACCTCTTATTTGCATGTCTGATTTTTCTCCTACAATTGAGTTATCCTTCTTTCTTGCTAATTTTGAACTGACTTCTAACTATTTTATCTACTTTTTTTTTTTTATTCTTATTTGATATTTTAGGTGACTTTCTTATAATTGATGGTAATATTGATTCTAAGGACTCAATAGTTCTTTATTGATTTGCACCTCCGATAGTGCTAATGCAATTGGAATATATATTCACCTGTGTGGTTTTGCTATAGCATGGGTTGATATAATATTCAGGTCTTTCTTTAGTTAGGAATATGGCTGAAATAGCATGCATGCATGGAATGCCAATGATATCTCATTTTTTGCATGAACAAGTATATAACTTAAGGTTAACCACATGTTGATTTGATGGATCACATGCAACTTGGTACCTTGGACCACCAGCATGTTTTGGCCAAAACCAACTTGACTCCAAAAGAATTTGATCCAATGTTTTTTGTATTTTATAACACAATGGTCCTGGATACTTTTCAATCGTTAGACTCTTCAAAATAATTCTTTGCATCAATTTTGTCCTAATAGTCTCCATCATTATCAAGATTAAAATGTAAGTATTAAAATTTAAATTCTAAATTTACTAAATATCATTTGTGATTGCATGAATGAATTGAATTAAATTTTTTAATTCAAATAATTTTTTTACCATATTTTTTAAATATAATTTTTCAACTCAAGTTTTTTCCAACCATATTAGCAATATTGAATTAATTCTTAGAGCTCAATTTAAAAAACTGATAAAAAGATTGAACCCTAGTACGTTCCTATTAAATGTGTAGGCTTATTGAAAAATTGGCAAACATGCAACCAAACAGAGCAAACAATACCTCATGTTTTAAAAATTTGGAGCAAAAAGGAGAACAAAAAAAAAAATTGGTTTTTAACCTTTGGATAAAATGAATAGTTACATAGTTAATATTTTTGACATCTTAATACTCATAATCTTTTTTATGTTTTGGTTCAAGGTCATTAATGTGACAAAGTTTTCATTTTGGCTTGCATATGTTAAAAAGATAAAAATGTTTTGGCCTTTACTCAACGGGAGACAATATTTCTAAATTATTTAGAGCCATTGCCTCTGTACCAAAATCATTAATAAATAAATCAACAATGAGTAAATAATACAAGTATGCTAGTATAAAGGAAAAAATAAAATAGACTAGCAGTTGCTTATTTCTTGACTAATGGCTATTTCATTTTTTATAAACAATTAATTAACAGAATTGAAAACTAAAGTTTAAGGTGAAAAGCAATTTGTGTCTGGTGGGAAGGGACCTATCAGAGTTTATAATTGACCAATGTAATAGGGTTGCAACCAACCAACCATTATTCTATGTGGCATACGTTAGGTTGAGGTCTTTCAATTTTTCTTGATTGACAAGGCATTCAACTTAAAAATCATTTCTAGATTTGTAAATCATTTCTAGATTTGTAATTGTATAACTTTAGTATGGATAGATGACCCACATGAAGAAAGATTTATATAAGAAAATCTAATAAATTCATATACATAAGCACATAAGCAATTAATTCATATAAGAAAATCTAACTAATTTATAACATAGTAGTTCAATTTTTTTTTTACTAAGTTGAAGTAAAAAATCTAACTAATTCATAAAAGAAAATGTCTTGGTCTGAAGTCTAAACTACTATTCTCAAACAAGAAATGGCAAAGGAACTCAGTACACCAGTTATCAGAGATTTCATAAACAAGCAGAAGCAATGTTTTCAACCTCAACAACAACGTGTTATGTTTTACTTTAACATAAGCAATCACTTTCAAAACTTGAAGTATCTAGTTACTTGAACAAATATGTGGGTACATGTTAAAATGATAAGTTCACTTAATTGGCAGAATGCTATTTGGAATGTTATTTAAGTTTTTATATAAAAAAATTTATCATATTACAATTGTATAAATGATTCTTACATTTGAGATCACTAAATATCTTATATATCGATTGTTTTGTTTTGATGCTATTCTATAAGATTTTATCCAAGGATGTATAAAAGAATAGTGTTCGAAATCACATAGAATATCTAGAGATAGATGAATGTTTAACAAATGATGCATCACTCTAAATGATTAAGAAAAATATCTTAATCATTCTTGAAAATTTAAAAAGATTTAAAAAATCAATTTATTAAATAGTTAGAGTTTTAATTAGTGATTGAGAGGGTAAAAGTTCAAATCTTATTACTTAAAAAACTTTTTCTTTTTTTAAAGCTAAAATTTTAATAACAACTAATGTGCTACCCATACGTCGTGTTAGATATTTCAATTAAAGTTGGTATAATTGTTAGAGATCATTCTATTTTCATTTAAGTAGTGTAAGAGTTTTTGTACATGTTATAAAGTTTTTATTGCACCAAAAAATTCACAAAGGATTTTTAAGAAGAGTTAAAACTCTTATTACAAGAGAAAAGTGAGGATTCTTGGCATAAGCTATTATTAAGTGAAAACTAAATTTAAAGTAAACATAATAGGAAACAAAACTGTACTAACCATTAAATGATACAAAAAAAAATGTTGAAAATAAATTATCTTAATCACAATATATAATCTAAAAGCCTTTTTTTTCTTATCATTGATCAACTAAATCCAATAAAAGTAAGCAAAAATTTGCAACATACAAAAGTAATATTAAACTTTAAATACCACTATATGCTAAAAAATTAATTAGTAGGAATCAAAATAGAATTTATATTTAAATTTGAAATAAATAATCAGTCACTTTTTGGTAAGATGTAGAAAATTAATAACTAAAATAGATGATAAAACCAAATAAAAAAATGTGTTCAAAACAAAAAAGAGAAATTTTTTATTGATATCAATTAGAGTTTAAACATTACCATATTTTAAAGTAGAAGGATATATATATATATATATATATCGAAATGATTAAAACCTGACAAATATTGTCTACCTTTTAAACAATTGCTTAAATCTTGCCTCTTTTTTCATATTTCAATC